ATCTGAATATTTTCGGATCGGATATGGAATGAGTTTTGCATGATCCGAAATTTTCGGATATCCGAATTTTCGGATCGGATCAGATCGGATCGGATCGATCCGATTGAACACCCCTACCTGTATTATAAATAGAGGTCATTTGGACAACTATAGTTATATCGCCTAATAACATCACACACTGAACTCACAATCCCTAAAAGGGAATTTCGGTCTCCCTCTCTATTATCTCTCTACTCACTAATTCTACCCTTAACAATATACCCTAAAAGGGAACCCGATCAAGATCGTGTCTTCCTCCCTCAGCCATGTAATCAGGGATTTGCCCGGTATTATTTAATCATTATTCTTGTTTCATTATATGATTGAAGAATCCCAACTCAACATATTAGTTTTTCAATTAATTTAAAAAATTAAAGGTGATGAGTACTTGGATGGTTTGAGTAGGCACTCCATGCAAGTTTGAGTACTTAGAGTAGTTTGACTAGTTTTGAAGTGACTCAATTTTATTGAGTAGTTAAAAGTATTTGGGGTAAAAGGTGGATGCCCCCCGTATAAAAATGGATCATTATACACAATATATTACAACCATGCTAGGGATACACCAAGAAATATATCACATGTCATACCTCAAAGAGACGCACCAACATTTTCACGGTTCAGACTAGCATAAAATGCTAGTGTAATAAAAAAAATTGCACTAATATTTTGTGTTATTGTAAACAATAACACTAGCATTACACTATCACAACCTTTAGAGTACAACGTGAGATATAATTTTTAGGGTATAAATAGCTAAATTCTATATATTAAGCAAAAAAAAATTGTGCAAATTATCGTTATAATTCCGATTCTTTTCGATTAGACTAAGAGTCTGTTTGGAAATAACGTTAGCGATTAGCGTTGGCGTTTTAAAAAGACTATCTACGTGTAGCGTTTTCAAAATAATCTACATCATTAAATTTTTATCCAAAATAATGTGTGAAGCTATTCTCAAAGAGGCCCTAAGTTTATATCTCAATTAGGCTTGAGTATAACTTCTTTTTTTAAAAAAAAGAAAGAAAGCCCCTAGCTAGCAAGCTGGAGCCCGCCATTCAGAGGCTGATCTGATGACGTAGGCAGGCATTGTGATGTAGCAACGTGGCTTGGCCTTTGCCTTGCGTTGTGTTCGTCCGTACGTACCCTAATCTTTATTCCTTGTCAGTCGTCCTTATTCAATTCTCCCGTCCAAGGTTGGGGAATGGATCCGGGTCGCTATGGTGTGTAATGGAAAAAAAAACGTTTAACCTTAATAAAATAAATTATACCCCGTAAAAATTAATTTTATTCCTTTTGACAATAATTTTTTAAAGAAGTTAATGTTTTTCAAACGGTACTTAACCATGGGTCAAACTTAATACTCCCTCCGTCCTATAATGATCTTCCCAGTTCATTTTACGAAATTTGACCGACTTTATTTTCAATTCAATTTATTTGATTATAGGTGTAAAATTAAAAAATAAAAATTATATATTTAAAAACTATATCAAAAGTTCTACAAAACAAGTGGTGACAAGACTATATTATTTTATCAAATACCTAATGAAAATAGGTAAAGAAAGTGATTAAAGTTTGACCGTGTAAAAAGTGTGTGGGAAGAACATTATAGGACGGAGGGAGTATTTTTAGAAATACTACGTATATATTTCATCTTTTTTTCCAAATATATAGGCAAACTTTATTATTTAAAAATTATGGTTTTTTTATTTGTTCATTTTCATTCATTATTTGAAAAAATAAAAAAATTGGTCATATCTTGTGTAAAATATATAAATTATGCAAGGTTTAAACTTCAAAGTACTTATAAAATGTATTTAAAAATTTGGTCGAAGTATATAACACATTTTTATTAAGTTTTTTGAAATATGCAAGTTTCATTTTTTCTTATTCCAATTTTTCAATAAAATGAATTAAAATACATGAAATTTAACTAACTTCGTTTTGCTTAAAGTGTTAATCTTTTCGGATAGAGGAAGTGATTAACATAGGGAGAAATACCTAAAGAAGAGTAAAAGATGATTGAAAATATTAAAATAAGAGTATGGTACGACTCTTTTTGTTAACTACCTAAATAGGAGTTAACATTATTCTAACTACCACACTATCACCGGAGTGCCGCCACAAAGCTCCGTTGCTGGGCTCTGGCATTGACCGGTGATCTACCACCACACTACCACCATTTACACCCTCAAACTCATACAAGTATTTAGGAGACAAAATCATACAACTCTGATCCTATTTTGATATTTTAACTGCATTTTAGTTGCCTACCTAAGGACATTTCTTGTTAACATACTATGTTATTAGGGGTGTGCATAATTCGATCCAAACCAAGACGGACTCAATACCCAATGAGAACAGGACCGACCCAAAACCCTATCAAAACCATACCAGACTGATCTGGATTGGTTCCTTTCTAGTCTAGTTTTCGGTCCTCAAGTTTTCCATAAGGTTTGTTTTGTTTAGGGAGTACTTAAATTTAGTTCTAGAGAAATGAACAAATGTATTCCGTTAGAACTTGCAAAATTTCTATAAATACTACTTACTTCGCTCCTAAAAACATTTCCTGTTTTAACTATTTTGATCAAATAGTAAGAGACTTTGACTATAAATTTTGAGAAAAGCATACTTATTTATACTCCCTTCGTTCCACAAAACCCTTCATCTTTCATTTTTTTTGTTTTCCACAAAACACTTCCACTTTCTATTAAAAAACCACTTTTACCCCTACTCTTTTATACCCTACTTATCACATCATACTTTTTCACTAATAACCAAATTATCACATCTTACTTTTTCCCATCACATCAGGGGCAAAATTGGAAACTTAACCAAAATTACACTTTCCTTATTTTTCTCCAAAGTCAAAACCGGAAGGATTTTGGAGAACGGAGGGAGTAGAATTTTAAACAAAAATATTTAAAAGAATATAATCCAAAATGGAAACATAAAAATATCGTTAGAAAATTACAATAAATATAATTAAAACTAGTATATATGTAAAGTTGAGTGTGTGTTGGTTGTGGTGTTGACATGTGGCATGCCACATGTGCATCCACATGTGCACTTAATATTGAAGTGGATGCATTTCATTGATTCATTAAATTTCTTTTTTTAAAAGATCTTTTAATATATTTTATTGTATTATATTAAATGAGTATTATTTTATAGCATAAAAAACATTACTTTGATTATATTTTGTACAAACTTTAACATTTCATAAAAGTTCTATAAACATATATTTCACCATTGTAAAATTTACTCCGTATTTTAAATATGCATATTGATTGTAAAATTTTAAAGCAAAATATGTATAAGACTTTTTATTATTAATTTAAAAATTTTTCCCTTTCAGAAAAATAAAAAAACATTTCGCCTTCAAAGATATTAAATTGTTTTTGGAATTTTATGTTTTATTTAATGTAATACGGAGTATTTTTTAAAATAAAATAGTTATAGAATTTTTAGTGCATGTACAACAATATTTAAAGTATACTTTGTATTTAAAAATACTTCGTATATCTTAGAGTGATAAAATATTAATTTAAAATAAATAAAATTATATTTATAGAATGCCAAAAGTTTAGAATGTATATGAGCCCGTGCGAAGCACGGGGTTAACACTAGTTTACTCATAAGTTGCCTTCAAGAAAAAGAATTCTTTACTTGTTCTAAATATATTTAATCTAAATTTTTCAAGAATTCGAGACCATTCTAAATATATCTCGTCCACATAATTAAAAATATTTTCAAACATAAATCTGTTATTATTAAAATTTTACATATTAAATCTACGACTAGCTCACATTTGTACTACCGAGATACTATAAATTCATTAATTCTATATTTGATACTTATTTATTCTTTTTGAAAACTTATGTAAAAAATTGCATTCCTATATATGTAATTTACGTTAATTTTTAATTTCATTTATAGGTGGTGAACATTGGATAAATGAAAAAAAATTCAATAGAATAAAAAGAGATTCTCATGAGAAAAAACAATGGTTATCTTAATAAGCACTCATTTTTAGTTATACATAGTGTAAATAAAAAAATCAAGTATTATTCGTAGTATATTAAATACTTAATCATACCGCAGACCCTGCATAAACTAATATAGAACATGTAATGAAAAAAAACATCAGGAGTAAGTCAGCTTTCTGTTCAACTTTTTTTTTCTGCTTATTAATTAGAAATATTTGAACTAAATAGCGCTAAAACTTAAGTCATTTTCTCTAAATAGCACTTAAGTTGTTTTATTCTCTAAATAGTACTTAATAATGTCCATATAATGACCGGTTTTGGCAAAAATTTACTTGAATAATAACTAACGGATAATGACTAAAAATACTACATTGGAAAAAACACATGTAGTGCTATTTAGAAAAAGTCATTATGTTTTACTGTTATTTACGTAAATTCCTCTATTACTTATTCTTATTAAAATGAGATCAGATCTAATCAGATCAGATCGGATCCAATCAGATCATATCCGATTAGATCAGACCAGATCTAAACAAATATATCATTATTATTATTATTATTAACATTATTATTAATATTATTATTACTATTATTATTAATATTATGATGATAATTATTATTACTATTTTTGTTATTATTACTATTATTATTGTTATTACTACTTCTATTATTATTATTATTATTATTATTATTATTATTATTATTATTATTATTATTATTATTATTATTATTATAGTAAATGTGTCAAGTTAGTGATTAGTGATGCTAGGGATTAGTGATTAGTTCCTCTCTATCTATTTTCTCTTCTCATGTCCTCCCGTATGGTACTTTCCCCCATTAGTGATGCTAGGGAATGTGTCAACTTCTTATATTCTAAGCAAATTTCACAAACCTTATCTTGATGGTAAGGACGCTCTCATAGAGTCATCACCCGCCTATGATTTTTTTTTTATAAATATAATTATGGTGGGCATCCCGGACGAATTTACCCATAATGCCGTACAGTTGCTCAGCTCTCACTCCCTCCACCCACCCACCCCCACAATGCCTCTCCTACAAATACCCCCCCACAACACATTCCTCATCATATACTTGCCATCATCCCCCCACTAGCTACTCACCCATCTCATCCACAAAAACTTCTTCTTCTTCTACAATTCTCCGAGTCTTCCCACACTTAGTAATTAATTCACCTATAAACTCTAATTTTTTTTCTAGATCTTCCCATCCCGGCTGCCAAACCTTGTTTGAGGTGTTGAGGTAATTAATTAACACTCTTTTTTTATTACTTAAAAATAGAGTATAGGCAATTAAGAGCATGTATTTTTCTTACTACTTAAATAAGCATCTGTTTTTTTAATTAAAAAAATATGCGAGTAGGTTCGTAAAAATAATATGCACCCGAATGCAGTATAGAACAAAATTAAAAAATAAAATTTATATATTAAATAACTAAATCAAAGAAATTTCAAAAGAAATGATGATATGATTATATCATTTTATTAAATAAGTAACGATAATAGAAAATAAAAATGAATGAAATTTTATCTTGTAAATAGTAATTTAATTTGAATGGGAAGCTATCATAGTAATTTACAAAGTATTTCTTTCCTTAAGCTAAAAAACAAACATAAAATGTTTATTGAGATGAACTATTTAGGAAACTTGGACAAAACACTTGTTTTAGGGTGATGTATATGAATATATTATGGCCAGAGTTAAGGTAGTTTCTTGAAGTTTTGATCTTTGTAAAAAAAGTTTCCTAAAGATCAAATACTATTACCAAATTTTGTTTCATTGTTCTTTGTACAATTTGCCTAGGAACTTGAAACTTTGTCAGCTTTTGTGCATGCAGTCAGACCATTTGTTTCTATCTTCTGTTTTTACAGAAGGATTTTCTTTTAAAGATGCCTCCACGTGCCTCCTCTACGGCGACCCATAGCTTCACCGCCGCGCAACACTCTCCGCCGCCGCCTCTTCCCCCGCCGGCGAAGAAGCCCAGAGAAGGCATCAGCTCCATTCTCGGGTCCGAGTCCGATCACCGTGCGATGTCAGCCCCGGCCGCCGCCTCCATCAGGAGAACCCTCTCCGCCGACATGTCCTCCAAGAAATGGCTCTCCCACAACGGCTTCTCCGCCGCCGCCGCCGCCGACGACCACCGCCCCGGGCAAGACGAAATCTGGAGAGCGATCCAAACACAGAAAACAACCCAACCAAACAACGACGCCATAAAGCCACCGGCGACGGCATTGATACGCTCGTCGGAATCTTTCAGCTCAATCGTCTCGACGGCGTCGTTTCAATCAACAGAAGACCCGTTCTCGCCCAGCCTCCTCCCCGCCGTCGAGAAGAAACCGCCGAAGAAGATGAGCTTACAGAGCCTTCAGATCTGCACGGAGATTCTCTGCTCCGAGACCGGCGCCGACGATTTCTCGGCGGACTTTCCAATCGAATATCCCGACGACACGGAGAGGACGACACCATTGAAGAACAGGTACAGCAAGAGAGCTCCGCCGAAGCCTCTCCCGCCTCCCCTGCCTTCCCTGAATCTGGACAAGAATTCCCTCCAGATTCTCCCCCGCCGGCAGAACGGCCGCCTTACTCTGGAAGCGGTCTCCCTCCCGCCACAGGAGTATCTCCGGGCCGAACGCCGCGACGGCCGCCTCCTCATCGTCCTCGTCAACAAATCTAATCACCATGAAACAGAGGAAGACAACAACAAACTGAACAAAGAAACAGAGTTGGTGTTCAACGACTTCGAAGAAGAAGAAGAAGAAATCGAAAAGCGCGTAAAAGAAGAAGATGATGACGAAGAAGAAAAAGAAGAAGAGAAGAATATAATGGAAGTAATGGCGGAGCGGGAAATAAATATCCCGAGGAGGTATCCGCCATTGATGATGCAGTTCCCGGGGCTAGTATGCAAGAAACACCCGCCGTGGACGATAAACAGGGCAGTGGCGGCGGCGGACGGCGGGGAGGACGACGTGATCATCAACCAACTCCAACCCCACTCGCTGCCGCCGGCGCCGGGGGTGGCCGGGCTAATCGGGGACCCACTGCCGGCTGCGACGAGCACAACTTTCGTGAATGCGTACGACTACTTCTGGAGGAAAAAACCCGCAGAAACAGAGCATTTGATGGGGAAGAAGAACAGAAATGAAAACTGGGAATTGGGAGAGACGGAGAAGAAAAGGATGGACAGCGTGGTGCTTTTGAGAGGGACGAAGGCGAACAATATGAACATAGCGGCGGCCATGTTAAACAATGGGTGCAAAGATGGGAGAAGGTGGTCGTCGTCTTCCTTGCGACTGCGGGATCCTTACTGCATTGCCACTACCTGATTCCATCCATCATCATCATCATCATTGAATTGAGCCCTCTAATGATTGAGATTAAACCATTCTAAATCAAGTTAATGAATGTATACTCCTTATTTTAATTATTAATCCCCCATAGTTAACAAGCAAAGAATAATGATGATATATAGTGTATACTCGATCTGTAACTCCGTGTATGATGTAGTGCCCTGGCCTCCCCAATTACGACCATAATAAAGAAATACGGAGTATTTGCATAGCATTAAAATTTAAGTCATTTCCTTAAAAAACATTTAAACTGTTTTATTCTTTAAATAGAATTTAATAATATTTATAATGTTCAGTGATGGTGAATATTTGCATGAACAATAACTAACGCATAATGACTAAAAGTGCTACTACCTCCGTCATAGAGTATTTGTCCACTTTCATTTTTACACATCATCCAATACACTTCTTTAATCCATTTTATCTTGTAATTTGTATATTAAAAAATTATAGAAATTATTTACTCCGTATTAATAATATATATGTTAAGACAAATCAAACAAGATCACACATGATTATATTTAGGCTTACACATTGAGAGAATTTGATGAGTCAAAGTGTTTAGATGAACAGTTCCAAAAGTCAAAACTGGACGAATACTACAGGACGGAGGGAGTACACTAGAAGAAAAACACAGGTGGTACTATTTAGAGAAAGTCATTATGTTTTAGTGCTATTTAAGTAAATTCCTCCCATAATTAAATCATATGTTATGTGACTCAACAGGCTTGTTGTTGTGGGGAAACCCAAAATATAACTCAATACAATTATACAACTAAATGTTAAGTGTAGAACCATTCAAAAAAAAGAGTACAAAAAGATGGGTTTCATTATTTTACCAAATAATACTCCCTCCGTCTCGAAATAAAGTTTAGGTTTCTATTTTTTCTCCGTCCAGAAATAGAGTTTACATTTCCATTTTAGACCTACTTTCTTCCAAAAATACCCTCAACCTTTTTCTAATTCACACCTCTCCACTTCTCATTCTCTTATCCGCCCCTTCCTCTCCTCATTTACTCCACGCGTATCTGTCTCTTTCTCTCCTCAATTACTTCTTTGGCTCTTCCTCTCCTCATTTAATTCTGCGTTCTCTTCTTCGTAGATCTAGATCTGTATAGATCTTCTCAGTTCCTCCCTCTCTTCAATGAAATTCCATGATTATCTTTACGAATCGTGCATTCCAGAACCCCAACTTGTAGATGGTGCCTACGTCTACAGCTCTAACGACAAGGAGGACGAGGTAATCGTTCTCGAGAATAACGAGAACGTTGCCGATGTTTCTCCGGTCAAAGCAAAAGAGGTAATAGACCTTACCTCTAAAACCAACTCTGTTATTCATCTGGAGAGCAAGGAGGTTGAGGTTTCTTGAAACTGATATTGATGGCACAGATGGATCTGATGCCACTCCAATTGAGAATTCTTCCCAGATCTACTCCTACATGCACCATGTTGAACATCGTACTTCCCAGTCCAGACCCTAATTTTTGGGCTTCGAAGTACAAGTAGGGAAGTCTTTTTACATCCTTTGTCTGCATTCCTTTATGTGATGAGTTTTTGTTCGTGCACAATTTCTAACTATGTTGCTATTTTAATGATGTGATTGTATGTACTTATTCTGTGTTCTTATTTTCTGTGAATAATAGATTTAACTACTGTGATGAACACTTATTGAGGGCTTTTTCTGAGTACTTAAAATCTGTTAGTATTTCCTGAAGTTATGAACACATGAATTAATGTAAAGAAATTTCCTAGGAAAAGGAAAATGTACTATGATGAACACTAAGCCATGTGTGGGTGTTTCTGAGTACCTAATATGTGTTCCTAGTTTCCTTAAGTTCAGCAATGACGATGTGGTATAAAGTAAACAAAGGTAAGGTATGCTGGATGTTGTAATTACATATAGAGCAGGTTGTGTAGTTGCCTTGTTCTGAATACATATATACATATGTTCAAGCACTTGCAAAAAACAAAAAATTTCAAGCACTTGGAAATACACTCCCTACCACCATCCCAAAAACCAAAAGCCCTTCCCCTGCCCAAAAAAGCTTTTTGTTGTTCCCATTTCATTCCGTTCAAGTCTGAAGGGAGGTATTCATCTTCCTCTTCAGGGTTGAACTGGATCATATCTTCAAGTGTACTCCCATTTCCTTCTCGAGGTAGTCTTGCTGTGTTGACAACTACCTCTGGGTCTATGTGAAGGGACTTAGGCAGTGTTCCAGCCCTTTTCAGTGTGTCTTTTCCCATATGCTGCAGCTTATAATTGTCTCCTCTTTCTTTTTTCATGATTGTAGCCATGACGTGCTGATAACTCAACCAAACTTTATTTAAAAGTTTCTGGATTTAGAGCATTATAAGCTCCATCAACTGCCTCTAATAATTCTTCAACTGTGTTTGGAGCACACTATTCTTTTAAGGACTGAATGGCTCTGAAAAACCCAAGATCAAGGACATTTAAATCTGGGGAGTTGGGGGGGTTGGTTACCTAGAGTAATGTGGAAACCATTAGTGTTTTCTGCAACTACAAAGTCTGAGTCGAAACCTCTAATGTGTTGCCCTAACATTATCGTGTTGAATATGAATGTTCTTTGATAAATGTCTAGGCCACTTGTCTTGGATAGCTGGAATCACTTTATTGATAAGCATGTCTTTTGTGACTTGTTTGGTAACTCCCTTGATTGGTTTTACTTCCAAGACCCCCTTAGCCTTGTTCTTGCTCATTCTTTTGGCTTGAACAATTTCAGTAAAATGAAAAATACCAACTTTACCATCCCATAAAACAACTCCATTATCATCAAGAAGTGGTCTACCAACCATACACAAGAACATGACTTTTGTAATGAACCTTTTTTATTTGCATGTCCTATAGGGGTCAACTTCTTCAGGAAGAAGGTAAAATCTTTGAGATGTTTTTGTCGTAAAGAACCACTTCTCATAAATGTGCAATACATTATGAAAAGTCTTGAATATAGGTTGGTGAGGCATACTCAAAGGTTCTATTTGATCTAAACAGAATCTCAACCTAGCTTGTTTATTAGCAGCAGTAAGGTATGGTTTAATAGCATTTGTATGACTCTGAAGCATACCTCTCTTTATCCACTAATGGACAGTGGACCTTGCTAATTGTTGTTGCTAATGTTCTGATAGTACCCCTCTTCCTGAAGGGGGTATATGCAATGGTATTTACATCCATTACTGCCCTTTTCCTCCCACAATGACCTACCATTTTGCTTCTCACATCAACGCCAACCCCGTGCTCCAATTTTTTTTTACAATGACCCATATCTTGCTAATTGTTTGTCTTGACACATTAAACTATGCAGCAAGGTTATTGATCTGCCCTCTCTGAGCTGAATAGGACCCACCAGTATTCTTTTTTGAATTTCGAAGTAAACCTTCACTAATAAGCTGCCTTGATGTTTTGTCAAGTTTTTTGGAAGTGAAATTTTCACTAAATAGGACTAAAACATAATGACTTTCCTAATGAAGGATTTAAACTTTTTTATTTCCTAAATAGGACTTAATAATGACCTTGTGGTAGGAATAATGTCCAGTAATGAAAAAATTTACTTGAATAATGACTACTTGATAATGACCAAAAGTCCTATATTGAGAAATAAAAACATATGATCCTATATTGGGAAAGTCATTATGTTTTAGTCCTATTTAGGTAAATTACTCTTTTTGGAATTCATGTATAGATTTTCCATCAATTTTGCAGGGATCCAGAATTTGAGAAAGAGAAAGAAAAAGAAGAAGAGAAGTTGTCACAGGCCGGAGGAGAAGAAGAGGATGAGAGAAGAATGAAGGTTGCCAAAAGGGGAAAGTCAATGGTTTTATATAACCAGTACACTGGAGGGATTTAGTGAATTTGGGGGTTTCTTGGGCGGGAAGGGAAAAAACTGGAGGGACCTCCAATTTTGTGTGTAATGTTAATGTTTTTAATCATTGTTGTATAATGTTTGATTGGATGTAAACCATCATGTTTAAATAGTGATTTCTCCCTAGTCCCAATCATCTTTTCATTACTTTTTTTTAATTCCCAGCTCACACGCCCCTTTCTTTTTCTTTCCCTTCTTTTTCCTTCATTAAGGGTATTTTGGTCATTTCATAGGGTTAGTCAACCTCCCTTAATAATGACCAAAAGTAAAAACGTAAACATTAATACCGGACGGAGGGAGTCCTAATCTCTTCCATAAACTTGTAAAGCAAATGAATAATTTTAATTCAATTTATGATTCACTTTCAAAAAAAATGACATGAATAAGAATATTAATATTTATTAGAATTCGAAAGAAAGTTCATATTCGAAAAAAATAAATATGAATAAGAATATAAATACTTATTACAATTCGAAAGAGAGCGGATACGAATATGAATGCATATGTATTCGATTTGATACCTTTATATATATATATATATATATATATATATATATATATATATATATATATATATATAGTCACACTATCACAGTGCAAACTTTTATTTTGGAGATAAAAACATAAAACTCTTATTTTAGTAGTTTCTTTATTAATTTTTACTCTTATTTAAAAGAAGTGGTGCCAAAAGCAGTATTGAAATGGGGTAAAGTTAACATTTTCCTTTTGAATTCGATAACTTCTAAATTTGCATTAACAGTTTCTTTTTTCGGATCGAATAACTTCTAAATTTGCATAAAATAATGCTTTTTCGAATCCAATGTTTTTGCAATTGGATGAGTGTTTGGGTAAAAGAGATGAGACATATCAAAACATTGAGAGGTGGAAATAAAATTATTCCAATTGGAAGTTTGGCATCTTAATCTTAATAATGACCCACAGCTATGTTTGACTGCAAGATTCCTTATATTGATTTTGATTAAATGGGAAGTATTTTGATTTTAAAATGAGCTGATGATGTTTTTAATTTGTTAATCAGCTGATGCATTTTTCTTTATTTTTATAAGCTGATTTATAAGATGTTGTTAAAAAAATAAGTAGGTCTTACCTACTTACTTTTAAACTAGTTTTTTTCGTTTTGACCAGATTATTTTTAAAATTATTATTCACCATTTATGAATATCCCAAAAGGATTTATCAAAAATTTTAAATCATTTTACTTCCACGAAAGAACATTTAACTTATAAATAACTTATGAATTAAAAACTATTTATCAACAATAACTTAATAAGCATCAACTCAACAAATAGCCCCTAAACTTAACCCTCATGGAATGTTTGCATGAGTTGAAGTAG